AATAATGCATCCAAGCAAATGTCTCGCGCACGTACTCCCTGGACTTGAAGCTCTGCATCAGCTTTATCACCTGCAGATTTGGAACATCAATATCTGGGTGCTTCGCCAGATTGAAGTCCTTCTTCGCATAGCAAACTCCCTCTGAAACAAAACCAACCACGTCACAATTTTAACACGACACAAACCTTAAAAAACGACACGAGAGAACATTAACGTACCTTGGAAGAGGTATTTGCAGATCTCTCGACGGTTCTTCTCGGAAATGATCTTCACAAATTAATGGAAAACAAATTAAATAAGTATTTTCATAAACCAATTCCAACAATGCAAGCATTGTTCAATCTTTATCCACGAAATAAACAGCTAAGAGGATGAAGTTCAGATACCATGGTTGCTACGGTGCAGCGGCGACGGAGAGAATGTCTACTACCTCACTATGCCTTTGCCGCTTGCTGCGATACAAACCCTAATTCCGCTTTCTATGGTTTATAGCAGACTTCTCTCCATGTAATACAACTATTGAATTGGGCCTATAGATGTCCCGAGTTTCAAGCCTTCCTGTGACTTACTCCAGCGAATGGACTCGTATGAGAGCCCATTTGTTTCTTTGCTTTGTAATTAGCCCACCTTATTCTTCCTACAACCACACTTTCTTCTTTCTACAACAAAAACATCATTGTGATGCCCAATATAACCTTACAGAATATATATAAACTATTAAATTAATTAGGTAAGCATTTAATGCTTACCCACATGTATTTACTTCTCGAGCTGCCCATTATAATCCTATAAAAATATATATAAATTATTAAATTAATTATATTTGCTTCTTCCATTACCCTCAAATCCTTCTCAGGAAACATTCAAATTGGTTTTTCTTTTTAGTGTTTTTCCTTTTCCTTTCGTATAGGTTCTTCTTCCTGGATTTCGTTTTTCATCTTCATTTTGGTTGAAGCTTAGAATTATGTATTTATTTACTTTTTCTTTATTTACATTATTTTTTTTTAGTTTTAAACGTTCGTAATTATTTATAATTTTTTGAAATCCAATTTGAAGAATGGAAAATCTGTTTTAGAATAAATACCAGATTTTGAAATCCAATATATATGAGTGTCTAATTTTCGAAATTTGGTTTTAAAGTGTCATACATTTCAAATATATAAAATTTTAAAATTCAACTTAGAAATTTTTCAAATTTTGAAATCTAGTTTAGTAATGTGCTGGAATTTGGAATTTAGATTAAGAATTTATCGGATTTTGAAATTTAATTTAGGAATATACTGAATTTCGAAATTCAATTCTACTAACATGGTCTTTCCACAACATGTGTTACTTGATCGATATAACTTGTAGTGTTCTCATGTTCTTGTTCAACAATATCCTTATGTTGCTCATCCAAATCAGGACCAATTATAATAAGAAGTTTTTTCAACTTTACTGTGTAAAGCTCTCAATTAAGTATTTTGAGACATCTCGTGTTGTTTTCATTTTTGTAACAAATAAATTACAACATTTGTTATAAACAACACACCAAATAACTATACTTAAAAAGAAAAAAAAAACACACACTAAATAACAAAAAATAAATTAACTAAAAATTATAAAAAAACAAGTGACAACTTCAAATGCGTTTTTTATACTAAAATATACTCGAAAGAACAAAATAAAACACGAAGCAGTGGTTAATACATATTGGATATATTTAAGAAAAAAAAAGTAGTTTGATGACAACCATTTAATATTCAAGGCTAAAATAGTAATAAAAAAATTCAAAAGATAAAGAAAAAAAATGTAAAGTAATGATGGATAATATTAAATAGATGTGAAAAATGTTTAGATGTGTCCATATTTTAAGTAGGAGTTCCACAGGAAGAAGCTTAAACAGAGAATGATTGAGCAAAAGGAAAAATGAATTTTGGAAAAGAAAAGTAAAGTAAATGTATGAAATTATTTAGCATTGCTTTATCGAGTGGATGAGTAGAGATGACGAAAATATATATAGTTAGCGAATGAATAATGGTTGGTTAGCTCTTTAAGCACAAGGTACATTTCATTTCCAAAAGGAATACTTGCAGTGCAGAATGAAAATTTTTTGGGACGTGCATGCGTGGTAAGGTAAGACAGAGAGGACAGTGAGTTGGTCGTTACATTAAAAAAACAAGACACTCAAAATTAAAAGGCAAATCCATTATTGTATATTCTCATTCAAAAAACACCAAATGTACAGTCAAATTAATAACAAATTCAATATTTTTCCATATCTTCAAAATCAAACTTTCCTGCTGCTGCCAATCGCCTTTATTAGTATCCTCTTCCATGTCAAACACTCAATAAACACTCTTTGCTATATTTATATATATATATAGAATAATATTATCTTCACTCGTTTTTTCGCAATCTTTTTCCAATCAACAATCGAAAGCGAGGTTGGAAAAAAAAATGAAAAGAAGAAAAGCAATCTCTGCATAAGTTTCAGGCTGGCCTGGACCATTTCTGAAAGCTCTTCCTGGTTAGAAGGGACATGAGAAAAAGAGCAGTGGGGACAGTCCTCGATCTCAGTCATAAAGATGAAGGAAAAGGTGAAAGTGTATTGGTTCCAATATTTGACGTGTTTGGTGCTAGTTCTTCCCCCCCAAGTTGTCCTTCAACGCTGTCCCAGAAAAGAAAACTGGGACAGTGTTGTTGATTCTCCACCCACTCATTCAACTCTTGTCTCCGCAAACACTCCAGTGCCATTTCTCCTTCCTCGTCTATACTACAACCCTGCACTTCCATGTTTGGCACCATGTTTTCCACATTCTCTATCAATGGTGGCAGATAATTCGTACTATCAATCACTGTAGCTGCTGTAAAAGTTGCTGCTGCCGGTGCTGGTTGAGGAGGAAGAGCTTGATGGACTTGGTGGTGGCTCAAGTTCCACGTTTCGCTGCTCAAACCCAATGAATCTTGGAACAGTTCTGCTCGAACATTGCTGGTGTCTACTGTTGTTGTCCCGTGGTCTAACGAACTAGTGTCAAACATAAATAGAGGGCACGTCGAGGAAAATATGGTTTCTTGCACCGCTGGTTTTGTTGTTACGTTGTCTTGGTTGCCAAAGTGATCTAGTTGGTTGGAACTATAATTGAACTGAGGGTGGTGATCCACACTCTGTGTAGTGGTGATTGATGAAGTCACCGAAGGCTTTCTAATTTTCTTTTTGATCCAAGAATTCCAATAGTTCTTTATTTCATTGTCAGTTCTACCTGGTAAGTGGCTTGCAATGTGCGCCCATCTGCATTTCCCAAGCAAAAGAAAGAACATTTATAGTTAATTAATCGAGTTTATATAATGTTTTTACATTATTAAAAACAGTTTCTTCTTAGTTAAGATGTCTCGCGTAGAATCGTAATTTGGAAGCAAATGTGTTGAGAAAAACGTGGAAAGAAATGGATAATAAAATAACAATTTAGTTGCTTCAAGAAAAAGTAGTATTAGAATGAATGTCGACACGAGAGGCTGTGAGTGCACACACACTGAAAACAGACAAGTAAATTTCAACTGACAAAATTGCCTGCTTAACTTCTCCAAAACTGTAGCTCCGGGCATGATCCTTCAGATTGATTCGTTAATAACTATGGCTGATTTAATTACGACTAATTCCTATGAATGAGTTACATAACTAGTGCTACAGGTCTCAACTCTATTTCTAATTGCTCGTTCTTTGGAAAATTAACTGCATAATAATACTATCTGTGATTGATCGTGTTCCAATTAATTTGAACCATTACCATAGTTTCTTTCTTGAAATATCCTTTCATACTGATCAATATGAAAATTTTAGGGTTGGTGTTTGATAGAAAGAAGAATGACAAGTATACAAGGTAGTGATTGGAAAGAATTGGCAAGAGCAAACCGGAAAATGCAGTGATCTTAATGAAAAATGGTTGATAGTGTGTACAATGAAGTGTGGTTCAAACCTGTTGCCAACAACCCCGTGAAGACTTATAATTAACTTCTCCTCTTCAGGTGTAAACCTTCCTCTTCTAATATCAGGCCTCAAATAATTAATCCATCTCAAACGACAACTCTTCCCACACCTTTGAAGCCCTGAAAGCCAGGCCAAAGAATGAACATCAATCATAAATAAATAAAAGAAAAGGGTTGATTTCATCACAAAAAAGCAAGTCTAGCTAGGGCAATTCCATACATGATATGAAGGAAAGAAGAGATATTTTTGATATAAAAATAGATAAATAGATAAAAAGAGAGACCAGCTTTCTCTGGAACTTCACTCCAGCAACCATAGCCGTGAGTGGTAATGTATCTGATGAGCTTCTCGTCTTCCTCGGGAGACCAAAGGCCTCTCTTAACCTTCTGTTGGTTACAGCAAGAATGGTGACCCATCTTAATTTCTTAACTTCTTTTGTAGCTACCTATGTAGTCTTCTTCTATTCCTGTCTTTTAGTCTTAAATGTTTCCTCAGTGGCCTCTTATTGCCTCGATCAAATGCGGGGATTAATTTGTATGCAATCTCTTTCTCTCTCTCTCTCTCTCTCTCTCTCTCTCTGCCATCCTTTAAAAGAGAGAGGAGAAGCAGACAGTGCAAGAGCCGACATTTACAACCTGATGGGGTCCACGAGTGGGACCCACATCTCCATCTAACCCTAAAACGACGTTTCATCAACCTTGTGCTTGTAATAGTGTCAGCATTTCTACGTACATGCGTAGTTTACGTACCCAAACTTTCTTCACACACTTAACTCTTTCCCACTTCCACAAAACTCCCAAAATTAATAACAACCCAATTGCTAGCGGAAGATGAAAACGAGAGAAAGAATATTGCCGGTTGTTTCATGCGCTTCCCTGTCTCAAACTATTCAGCAACGTCATTTCATCAATAGCAACAATTGCTCACTGAGAGTGATCGTTCTTAATAGTACATTCTTTTAAAATAAAAAACTAATTATTTACATAAAATAAATCAAATCAAACACTTACTAGTAAGATGAGTAATTATTTTCCTTTTATTTTCTTATAAAAATTATGACCAAAGTATGATAGGCTGAAACTGTTGATCATTCTATGCTTGTTTAAAATAACAAAATCATTTTTAAGCTTTATTATTACATCAAGATTGTGTTTATTCAATGAAGTTTATGATTTGCATTTTTAATGGAATAATATAGGCCAGAATTTCAGAATACATATAGTTAATTAACTACCCTACAATTTGAACAAAGTTGTTTTAGTTTTTAAGCAATGTTTATTCTACAGCCTCAGTCATGCATAATTGATTTTGTTTTGAAGTCTGCATTATTCTGATGTATTTATAGAGATCATAATCTCTCGCTCTCTCTTTTATATATAGTTTTTAAAATAGATATTATATTCTTATTCCTGAGACACTGAAAGAAAAAGTAACCGTGTGCCTATCATATAACTCCCAACCTCATGGAGGAAAGTTGGTTCTACAGTGGTGGCATTGAGTTCAACATTATTATGGTATGCTATGGGAAACAAATAATTTTGTCTTTTAATAATATGTGATGAGTTCAGTTTCAAATCTGTCGTTTATATATATAGTTTTATAACCTCAATATGATAGGCTATAAGGTTCACTTTCATTAACCATACGAACATCGGGATGAGAAATTGAATAAATTTCGAATAATTTTTTTAGGCGATGAAGAATCACATAGTAAAAATAATGTTAAATAAATATAAAAGATTTGTGTGTGAAAAAGTATCATTTATTTAAAAAGAAACATTAAAAATTTCTTTTGTTCGATGTTAATTATATATTTATATTTTAACATGTAAATTATTTCTTGATTTAATTTAATTTTGATTGAACAGTATTATCATAGTATTTACTAAATGTATTGGTGATAGTGGCAGGTGGGATAGCGTAAATTTCATATATTCGGAAAGAAATTGACATTTAAAATATTTGTTTCTTCCAACAGAATCTTCAAAAGCAATATAATGTATAGAACAAGTGTGAGAGAGACTGAAAAATGAGTTGTTGTTTTATGATTTAAGCAAGCCCAAGCTACTAATTATTTTGACTTGATTGTCTTTTCATTTAATTAAGAAGGAATAATAATTTCATTAGTGGTGTTGGAAAAACGTGTATAAGTGACATGATTGACATCAATTAAAGTTAATAGCCTAAATGGGACTTCTAAATCTCAGGTTTTAGATTTCACCAGCTGCAACTTTTACAACATAAAACCTATAATCATTGCTCATCATCCATACCATACCACCACATAAGCCTCAAACCAGAATTATCAACTACATTAAGATTTAGATAAATTTATTTTCATATAATAACAAAAAATATCTGGCCCTCAATTATGAAAAAAGATGTTTTAGAGGAGAGAGAAAAAAAGAACATAAGAAGATATGGAAAGATAAGAGGATGATCTGGGAAGTGGGAAGAGGTGACCCACAGCAGTAGTACATCGAGGAAAGATAGAGTGTCGGCTTAGCCTAAAGTGGGCTATTATCGTGTTTCAATGATACCTCCATCGAAAAGCCCCATTAGTTATGCAGCTGAGATCATGTTCCTATTACACAATGACATTGCCTCTTAAAGTAACCCATGCACTCAACTTCACTAATCTCCTCAATCTTCGTTTCGTCATCAAGATTTTCCAACACTTCCAATATCATTTCTCTCTCTTCATAATCATTCCATTAAGACTCCCTCTTCTAACTTCTATGCCCAATCACTTCCATTTTTCTTCCCACCCTTCAATCCATCAATGTATAAGTTCATGAGTTGCTATTTTTAAAATTCAGTAATCATAGTGCATGTAGAATGCAATGGTGAGATGAAGAAAATGAGTTTGTTTGTTTGTTTGAATGCTCTTATGATTGGAATTGTTTAGAAAGAAAAAATACATCTTTAAAAAACTTTTTGATACTTAAGTTAGTAAGAGTGTTTGTTGTAGACCTAAATGTTATTATTGGAATAATAATTATGATATGGGTATAGTTTTAATAAACATAAATTTGGATTATTTCAAAATAAAGATTAATAGACCTTGTTGATCATGTTTTTGTTAAAAAGTGAACTTTAAGTCATATGTCCAACAAACAACAAATATCGATAAGATATGTTTTAACCTGACTCTGATACCATGTCAAGAGGTGGGTTTTAAGTCTAATTCAACCTTACAAAATCGACTTGTAAGGTGAGGTTTGCACCCACACACACACACACATATATATATATATATATTATAAATTGACTTTTATCTCTATTCGATGTGAGACTTTCAACGGTTTTTAATGTGTCCACTAAGTACAATATTGTAAGTAGAATATTGAGATGAAGAAAATGAGTTTATTTTGGGTGTTGATTAGTTAGAGGGAAAAAAGTATTAATATGGCATTTGAAAGGTTTGTATGAATACGTATATGGAATATACATAGTTAGCGAAAGGGAAGGGAAGGAAGGGTTGATTGATGCGAATGAACCACCAAGTTGATGTAGAAGGGAGGAAAGTGATATTTGCTTGTATGAATCGCAAGCTAAAGCTTTGAAAGTAATATACAAATGATTTTTAAAATAGACCTTTGGGAGGAAATGAAAAGGAAAATCATTGTACTTAGCTTTAAGGAGGAGCAATATTGGAGGGATTCATGTGGGTCAGCCCCAGTTGGATTTTTAAGCAGTGATTAGTGAGGAAAAACACACATACACACTATTAAGGACATTGCCTTTATAAGCATGGTTGGTTAAGTTATTAAGTCATGGATGAAATGTCTCCACCATTGCCTCTTTCTTTACATCTTCATCAATCAAACTACATTATCCATACTAATTATCTACTGCTGCTACTACTACAGTAGTGTATGGTGGTGGAGTCATTCATATGGACCCCTCCTTCCCCTGTTTCTAATCGAACCCTCAAAAGTCACAAAAGCTAAAACAACAATCATAATTATGCATGAAAAATGGGCTGCCATATCACATTAAATCAATCAATATCTTAATAAAAAAATAAATTTTAAATTTAACTCAATTAAAAAATCAACTTAAAATAAAGTTTATATTTATTTATATATTATAAATTGGTGACACTTTATCAATATGAAAATTTCAACATGGAACAGAGAAAACGGCAGATTTTGAGAAAAATGAACAAGCCAATATCATTTTATCACTGACTTTTCCAATCACAATAATACAACATACCCTTCCCTTGGAAAAAAGAAGAAGGAATTTTTGGTTTTGTTTTTCTTATTTACAAATTGGGATTTTGACTGCGCTTCTTCTTGATTGCTGATGGAAGATTGTATGAGAATCTTTGCTTGCAGTGTTTGAAGATTAAAGAGGTTAAAACACGTGGGTATTTCAGAAAATGAGAGGAGAGATTAGAGTTCACTAAGTACTGTTTGTATAAACTCACATTATAAAAAATTTATTTGTGTAACATATAATTAGTCAAAATTAATTAAAGTAGTGAGTGACGTGAAAACATATCACTATTTCATCACGTGATCAACTCAATTTTCTTAAGCATGATTTTCGACGAAAATAAAAAAACTTCGTGAATTAAACTCAACCGTAGTAAAAATTGAGCTTTAAAAGTGGTTTCATAATGGTTATATAATTATATAAAATGATTTGAATTATATTATTATAGTTCACGTAAAAACAATAAAAATAGATTGTTTTAATTATATACAACATAAGTTATCAATAACAAACAAAATGGGAGTTTTACTCTAAAATGATAAAAAAAAATGTGTAAAAAAATATAGTGTCTACAAATATATAATACATTTTTTTCATACATACTTACGAATATGTCTACCAATGTTCAAGCTATCGTAAGATAGATTGTTAAATGTTTAAATTAAATTGGGCTAGACTAATTGCAGGATGTAAGCAGAACGAGTGGGTTAGCCCATTAATATGCGTGAATATAATATATTTCAATTTATATGCGTGAATTTAAAGTAAGAATGGACAGAGATCATTCTTAGTAGAGGAGATTACTACATAAATAATACATTTCATTCAAATACTTTAATTTAATTTTAAATCTTTATCTATTTAATATATTTTTTACAATAAAGTAAAATATTCATTATTGAAAATAAAAACTTCTCTTTTAGTTTCATACTTTTTAAAATACGTGACTAAATTAATAATAACTTATTATTACTAGAAAAAAAACGCTTTCGAAATAATTTAATAGATTTCTCTTTTTTTAAAAAAGGAAATATTTAATATGGTGAGATTTTTAATTTTTTTGTACAATTATAGGCTATAATTCTTTTAAAGAATCGATGTCTAAAGTTATTCTAAAATTTTAAAAAATTTTATTATTATTTTTAAATTTTATTTGTTTCAGATATAATAGGCTTGGTTTTATAGAGAATCGAAACATATTCCTTTATTAAAGTTATTTTTTTCGAATATTTAGAAGTTTGCTAAAGGCATTTGTTTGATTATGTCGTAGAGAACTCTTTCTTTTCCTTTGTAATTACTAGAAGACACGAATACAATTGTCATTTCTCCATTACTACTATGAAAGCGAATGTCACTCTATTTTCATCGTTGACTCACTCATTCATTCTCTTTTTTAAAGCTCGTAATGTTTTTCCTAACAAACATGTTGTGTTATCATTCATGTTCAAGTTTTGTATTAATGTGACATTGTTATAGTACGCGTTTCCTTGCTTCCAAAATGTGTTTTGCATTGTTGCAGTACCTAGCTTTTAACCTTTCACATTCTTAAAATTTTATGTTGTTAATGTATTTTTTATATGTTTGATATATTTTGTTTGTGTTTGGATGTTTCTAGTTGCTTTGCTTTTGTCTAAGTTCATATATAATATAGGTAGAAAGATAAAAAAAAAATATTTTAAAAAAGTTCTATAACAAGTTTAAGTTATAACAAAAACAAAGTATATTTAGTGAAGAATACGTTTTAATTTTTCAAGAAACTAAAACATATAATCGAATAATTTTTTGTTTTTTTAAGAGCCGAAGTTTTTGCTTCTTCGCTTGAAGGTTTATATTTTTTATTTTCAATCTTTTTTTAGTTGTTTTTACTACGGTTGTGAGTCTAGTTTCAGTTAAGAACTGAAACTAAAAATTTCATTTCTTACCTCATTTGAACATGTTTCAATTAAGAAACCAAAATATAGTATAAAGAAAATCGATGTCAAAATCCTTCATTGTATTAGTATATATGACTTTCTTTTTTTATTTTATTTTTTACTTAAACATAGAAAAATATCCATTATTAGTCCACAGGTAACTTGCTAATTTCCTTATATGCGTTGCATTTCATCAATTAATTTATTAGATTACTTTTATAAAAGTAAATAAACATGATTTTTTAATTGTATTTCATCGTGTAACATAACGATAAAATATAAAGCAATTTTAGTTACCATTACGAAATATATGTTACCATCTAATTATCATCTCAAGGGAAATTACATTACGAGGCAAAATAAAAATAAAGACATTTATTAATACTAAACTTGTGGTTACAATCTGCATAACATAACAGATACATAAATCTTCCAAACCAAAGTAAAGTAAAAGTAAAAACCATACAAACCCTGTATGATATAAAAAAACTAGTTTCAGCATCAATTCCATCGTTTGCAAGTTAAGAGAGACGAAGACCATGGAGTTATTATATCCATGAAACAGTGTGTAATGTCATTGGTTAGAGCAAGAATCAACCTTAGGATCATCAATTGGAGGCTTTAACTAGAGGTGACTGAGGAAAAGGTGAGTGAGGTGACACCAAAAAATCATCCAACCTTCTGGATGAGAAGCTCAGACTCAACTTTCTGTAGCTGCAAGATTTCTTCTTTGTTTCTGTGTTCTGACGAACAAAGGTGCGCATTCTCGCCAGAGAAACCTCCACGGCTCTATCATCCATGTTGGCATAGCAGACCCTGAACCACCCTGGCTCAGAGCAGTGAAAGGAAGAGCCAGGGGAAATATTGATCTTAACGTGGTGAATGATCACTCTCCACAGCTCCATTTCCGCCTCAAACGTCGCCTTCTTCAAAAGACCACGCAAATCCATCCACACAAATAGTCCGCCATTGCTCGCCAAGCACTTTATGCCAACCTGCTCAAGACCCCTACAAAGAACCCCATACCTTTGTGCAAGCCTCTTTGCACTCTCTTCCAGAAACCCTTTCACGAACTCATCATCAGAAAGCATTGATGCCATAAGGTACTGTGTCTGCGTGGACACCAACCCAAAGCTAGACATTTTCCGAGCGCAACTGACCACTGCGTCGTTGTAAGAGTATATGATGCCAACTCTGAAACCGGGGAACCCCATGTCCTTGGAAAGACTATAAACAATGTGGATAAGGTCACGGTCACATTCTATGTCTTTGTCTTCCTCCACTACCTCCGCGATGCTCGTGAATCCAGGGTAGCAAAAAACCGTACCCGCGTATATTTCGTCGCTTACTAGGTGGATCTTTTTTTCGTTGATAAAACCCAGCACTGTTCTTAGAGTTTCTCGGTTCATCACAGTTCCCAGTGGGTTTGATGGATTGGTAATCAGTAACCCCTTTATTCTGATGTTGTCCTCTTTGGCTTTCTCGTACGCCTCGTCCAATGCTTTCCTCGTCAACTTGAAATCGTTAGAGCTTTTGCAGATAACTGGAACAAGTTGAACCCCCGTTCTCCACCTTAAATCCCTGTCGAAACTGCAATGGGAAAATCAATTCAATTATTATTACAGCTTATATAGAATCTGGGTCAATCGAATTCTGTCGTGTTATAGAGATGAATAGCACACAACCAAAAAGAAAGAAGAAAAAACTATAAAACATGCAGAAGTCGTCAATTCTCATGTCATGAAATATCATACCGCTGAAATAATATTTAAAATCTCAGTTTAGTACGAAGTTTTTTGAATAAAAAGTGACAATTTAATATGACATTTATCCAAGTTAAGCATTATGCATGAAGAAACGGTTTAGAACAGAAGGTGATTTTCAATGGAATCTTAATATAGTTTTGTGAAAAAACTTAATTTTGCGTGTCAATTTGGAGTCATGTTTTAGTCTTTGGTCGTGAGGGGTGACAACAAAGATCAGAAAGAGACAGTGGATAATTAAATCACGGTGTATTATTATTGACCCAGGAGAGTTGATCGATGCTGTTCAACTAATTGTGATTTAGTTAAGCTTTTGACCAGGTCTTGGTCATCACTTAGTTAAATGGACCACATTTAACTTAGCATCTAATCTCGAAACATTACGCTGGAATGTTAAAAAAACGCAAATTGATAACAAAGATAATATGAATGTTAGTATTACCCTGCATAATAAGGTGTGGGGACCAAAAATGCTTCACCGGGATCTGCCAAACAAAACGCAGTCACTTCGTGTGCTCCCGTTGCTCCACTGCTCATAACAATTCGCTCAGGGTCGAACGTTACTCTATTTCCTCTCGTTCTTCCCATGAATTTAGCCACTGCCTGTGGAATTAATTTCAACCCAAAGTTAATTATATTATATTATATTATATTATATATAGCAAGCTTGATTTGAATAATTAAGGTTTTTCAGTTTATCCTAGTACGTCGCTCACATTTCTGAACTCCGGTAGCCCATGATAATCCTGAAAGTTGGCAATGGCCTTGAAATCACGCAGTCCTTCTTGTGTGCAAATGGAAGCCCCCGGATTATTCAGTAACCAATGCTGAACCAACTCCGAAGCAAGCTGCAAAAAATGAAAAATAAAAAATTAGATTTTTGGCTTGTGCTGTGAGCTTGTTCAAACTCTCGTTGGGTTTTGTAGTACCATGATTACGGATGGTGCCATGAGCTTGAGATAATTAAAAGAAGGTTGATTTGATTATATATACCTGATTTTCTGCAAGACCCATTTGGATAACCCCGTTAGGATTCTTGGTGGGGTGGAAGGGATCATCTTCATAGGCCTTCCACCCGTCGAAGTAAGGGGAGTCCTCACCATGGCCATTGCCGGTGGCAATCTTAGAGAGTAACTGAGGTTGGTTTTCGTTCATCATTATCTCAAGTTACGTTCTTTAACGACGTTGAATGTGAAGAAAAGCAAGGGCTGTTCTTGAGTGGTAGGAAAAATTTGGCTCAAGCCCTAACTTGTGCTTGTGTGTGTTGATGTCACAAGGCGAGTCTGTGAAGGTATTTATAGAGATAATTCCACCACATGAACGTTGATTTTCAAAGGTTAAAATCCTGGTTGACTGAATATAAAAAGAAATTTTGTGCCAGAGGAAACCGCCGTGAGTGGTCCTTTTTAAATCCTTCAATACTTAAGTACATCAAACAAAATACCATGACAGTGACCAATCTTCAATTTACCTTAAAAAAGAAAAGATTCTTGCTGTCTTAATATTTTCAAACTATACTATACGATGTATACATGTTTACGGTTTACATTTCCTTTTACCTTTAACCAAGTTATTTGGAGATAACATGAGGAAAGTAAGTTCTACATGTCAGTTGATGAATTTAGAAGGTGAAGATAGAATGAGAAACAGGTGAGATGGTATTGAAATGGTGAAAACGACGTAGTTTGAAGATCACTATTGAAAAAAAGTGATTGTTTATTGAAATGGGTTTATGAGATTGGAATATTGGATCTGGAAGGAGTGGAGGCGAATAAGTATAAGAGTTAGAGAAAGCAAACATGTTTTTGACTTGCAATGAGTCAAGAATTCAGCATTCAGTCATTAGGCATATGGAAAAACATTATATATGACCGAAATTTAAGCAATTTCAGATAAGTGTCAACACACATTGCAGTATAATAAATAAATAATTATCATTGGATATATCACTCAGCATCACTCCATGCGTATACCTTTTTATTAATAAAAGTAATTAAATTATTATTATGAAATTAAATATAATTAAAAAATAATTAAGATGAAAAAAAACGATTAAATTTTAAAAAGACAGTAAAATTAATAAAATAGTTATTTTAATTTTTTTAATTAAAAGATAGATATAAACATAAAGAAGAACAATCACCTTTTTATATAGATAGATATAAATTTTAAAAAGTATATATTTTAAAAAAATATGGAAAATAAACGTGAACATAAAAAAGGATAATCTTTTTTTTCTTTATAAATAGATATTAATGAATAATAGATATTAAAATTTTATGGATATCTAATTTAATTCTAAATTATCTTTAATATTTATAAACGTAGATATGTTTTAAATTTTATTTTTGGCATGATATTTTTTGTTCAAATATAATAATAAATTATCTAATTAATGAAATAACAATCACAGTTAAAATCATACGTGTTATTTTTTTTTTATGTTAGCTTAATATAAACCGCTATCCGAATAACCTATCTAAATTAATCCGTCATTATAAAAAAATGTATTCAATTAATCTAATAAATTAAACAGTTAAATATAAATTTTGAAATGTTAAATTTGAATTATACCTAGATTTAAATATGATCCGGTGCTCAGACCTATCAGCAATCTTAATTCTCCTCTTCTTCTAATTATTTAATTTTGTTTTCTTTTATTTATTTCTTTATCATCTTTTATTGGGGTTCCGTTATATTGTAGCATTATTAGTGAAGAGGACACCTTATCTGAATTAAAAAATGAGATGTTTATATTTACTTTAGTGTTGGAATATTTTAATGAAGGAAAATTCT